GGACGAAGTGCAGTCAGGTTTTTCCATGACTGTGTTCTTCACACTGTATCAACTTCTTTTTGTGAAGAGCCACCATTTCCAGCAGTCAGTGTGTGGTCAGCTGAGCCTGTCTGGGAACATGCTTAGTGCCTGTTATTCACATGCAGCCAAATGGAGTCTGACTGGACCCACTCCGTTGATCTAGAATCCAGGTGGCTTGTGGCTTTGTGATAAGGAAAATAGAACCACCCTACCTCTGCCTTTCAGCCTCAAGTGGGGAGCTGCTCAGTGGCCTGGTCCCAGTGCTCTCTTAGGATTGTGCTCACCTGGCCTTTTTAGAAGCCTCTAAAGCCTCAAGACAGGCCTCAGGGGAAACTGTCCTCAGGTTTGGACAGTCATCAGCAGGTGTCCAAGCTGTGGCTGTATCACAGCAAGATTTCGGAGACCTCAGTGCAGGGGTCAGTCTCTAGACTGTGGCCTTTGGCTTAAATTTGAAGTTGAAGCAACTAGCAGTGAAAAGTCTATGTTTTGTCTTTTCAAAGGAAAAGCAAGAGAGTCCACACCCATCACCCAGCAAGATGTGCTCAGTCTCTAGGGCGGGCCAGATGGTCTTTTCTTACACCTATAATTTCCTAGGAAATTGTGACAGCTGAATTTGCCTGATGGAACTCCAAATGGAATTTGCAAAATGTGTGTTCATGTGGGCTGGATGTGAGAATAAATCTCTCACCTGGCGAAAACATTCACCTCCCCTTCTCTGGAAACAAAGCCAGGGCTCAGTCAGTATGGTCTAGTTGGTGGGATGTGTGGCCAGATGCAGGTATAAGTGGATGAACAGGAGTGGGCGAGCACAGGTAGTGATGGACAGGTGGGAGGCTGGCCTGAACCATGCGAGAGGACAGACTGAGGAACTGAGTAGGGAGGGCTGAGTAGGGAATGAAGGTCTATGAAGACCAAAGGCTAAGTAGATAGAGGGCCAGGCAGATGGGTTGAGGGCCCAGAAAAAGATGTAAAAAAAAGGTTGAGGGCTGGTGAGGAAGTGAATGGAAGGTCAGTGGTAGAGAAAAGGAGGCCAACACTGGTATCCCTTTGAATGAGAAGCCTTGCTGGTCCTTGTGGGGGAGAGCCCTTCGATGGTAGCCTTTTTGATGAAAACCACAGAGAACATGCAGTGTGTCTGGATGTTTGATGGGGACACATGAATGAATAATCAAAATGACTGGTCTGGCTGGGGAGATCCTCAGTTTCTTGGACATTCCAGTGTCTGGAGAAGTTTCTGCAGAGGTGTTATCAAAAGCACTGTGTGCTTAGAGGCACTTGTAATCTGGTCAGAGACCAGTCCTGGCATTGCCCGGTGAGTAGTGTCTCACTGTGGGGGGTGGTTGGGAGGGACATCGCAGAAGTCCAGAAGGGCAGAGACATGGTGAGTTTCATGATTTCTCTTGTGTTGACCTAAGTCTTGTGGTCAGCCTAGAATAAATGCAAACAGCTCTGCTGGGAGCACTGGGGAAAATGGACTCCATGTTAAGATCCTGGTTCAAATCCATTTTCTGCTAGCCAGGGCCTTGGCCATGTCCCTTTCTGGTGGAAGGATTCTGGTCAGAGAAACTGCAAGTGCAAAAGCCTAGGTGCAGTGCAGAGATGCAGCCAGGGAAGGAAGGTGTTGCTTGGCAGAGATTCTGCCATTTGTTTTCTTTTTTCATTTTCTTTAAGACAGTGGTTCTCGACCTTCTCAATGCTGTGACCTTTTACACAATCTCATGTCATGGTGCCCTCCGACCATAACATTATTTTTCGTTGCAATTATATTATGTAACATCACAACTAGTTTTTGTTACGGTTATGAATTATGATGTAAATATCTGTGTTTTTGGATGGTCTTAGGCAACCCCTCCCCAAGGGGTTCAGAGCCACAGGTTGAGCATCACTGTGAGGGCCAGGGATGGGGTCTGGGTTGAGCACCACTGTGAGGGCCAGGGGTGGGGTCTGGGTTGAGCATCACTGTGAGGGCCAGGGGTGGGGTCTGGGTTGAGCACCAGCACTGTGAGGGCCAGGGGTGGGGTCTGGGTTGAGCACCACTATGAGGGCCAGGGGTGGGGTCTGGGCCTCATGCTTGTCGAATAGCATTCCTTTAAAGAGCCCCAGGCCTAAGGATTTTATTCAGGAAGCTGAGTACCACAAAGGGCTTGTTTTAGGGTGCCAGAGGGACACGGTTGCATCTAGATTTGGCTTAGCCCTTGCTGGCTGTGGAGAACAATCTGAAAGGCAAGGTAGAAGCAGGCTGTTGCGGAACCCAAGGGGAGGAACATGGACCATGGTGGAGGCAGAGTTGGGAGTGCTCAATGGGGGGGGGGGTCTCAAATTTCCTGGCAAACTAGAAGTGGGGAGTTGACACTAGAGTACATAAAAGAATGTGCTATAGTTGACCAGTTCATGACTGGGCACAGAGATGTTTAATTCATTATGATTTAGAACTGCCTCTGAGCCAGGCCTTGCTGCTCCGGGCCTCCCCTCTCCACAGCCATCCTTTCCTGTTAGCCCCTATTCTGTAAAAGCAGACTCTTCAAGGACTGTCAGCTCCCAGAAGACTTGCTGCCCCTTTCCAAGTATATCTTTCCTTGTATGCTTAGGTAGTCCGTGGGCCACTTTCCACATCCTGGGCGTGTGGCTGGGTTCACCTCAGAGCTAGTCACTGGTACTCAGCACAAGTGGCTTTCACTGGAGCTCATGTCCAAAGTGGGGAGGTACTCTTGTTTCCTGGACACTTCCAGAAGGCAATTCTGGCCAACAGTTCTGGGCTGGGTGAATGGGTGAGATGGGATATTGAGGAGAAGTATCCATTTTACCAGCCCCCAGCATGTTTGTTTTGAGCTCATGCACTCTGACCTAAACATGCACAGCAGACATCTGAAACACTTCCCACCTGGCTTTCCTTCATTCATCCCTATTGTTTCCCTGCAGAGCCTCCCCAGGTCTCTACCAAGTACACAGGATGAGTGATATCCCCACTAGCCAGATAAGGAATTGAGTACTAGAGAGTTCCACCGTGCCAGGAGGCCTGGATCTTCTGATGACTGACATGCTAACTACAAGCTCTGCAGTACAGCTCCTCAAAGATAGACCCCTCTTTTGGAATATTTAGGCTGTCAGCTGATGTCATTTTCTCCAGGACCACCAGGGGGCAGCAGATGAACGCCTGATCGGATGGCAAAATTTGTCTGTCCCAGACCTGGTCTTGGTGAGTTTCTGATGAGGCAGGATGGCTGAGGGCTGAGCGGACAGAAGCCTCTTTCCGGGTACCAACACCAAGGCAGGAATGCAGCATTAGCAGGGTGCTCTGCTTTCAGCTTTGTACTATCCTTTCTTTCCTTCTTTCTTTTTTCATCTCTCTGAGCAGGGTGTTGAATGACTCTTAGGGTCTGTGCTTTGGATGATTTAACCCCCTCTCTGCAGGAGGGCCTTCAGCTAAAGCTATTCAGAGGTCAAGTGGCAGAGCTGAAGGAGCTCACCTGGCATCCAGCCTGGCTCCACCTGGCCCCTCTCCTCATCTCTAGGACTAGGTTTCATGCTTCCTCCTTAGGTGGGGAAGGGGTGACCAGACTTCCTGCAGAGAGGCCTTTCTGGGAGGAACTCCCCTGGGTGCAAAGGACAGACTGTATGTGTTGAGGTAGGTCCTGTCATCCTTTCCTGGACCAGGTAAACTGTGGGAGAGGCAGGGGCTGACACAACGCTGCCTAGTCCACAAAAGATCGGCTCTTGGAGACTGGTCGCTTTTCTTTCTTCCAGCTCCCTTTCACGCCACCAGTTTCTGAGAAGGCTTGGCTTTGTGGAGTTCCCTTTACCAAAGATCCACAGCTCCTATAGACAGTCCAGAGCAAATTAATTTCAATCGCAAAATCAGTTATTTGAAGTTCCTCCCACTGTCGCAATGTGCTCAGGACACAGCACTGTCTATCCCTCCAGAACTCCCATTAGACAATCAAGGGGGCTACTTGTGACCATAAGTGAAGGATTTTTCTCTCTCTCCGTTATCTTGGAGGCGGAGTGTCTTGCGGACCCTGGCAAGGACAGAGGACTGGAAGTGAACTCTGCAAGACCTGAGCCCATTAATCAGATTGATGTGGCCATAGGGGCGTTGAGTGTGGGGGCCAGCCCAGTTCGCGTTCCGGGGTCTATCTTTGCCGAAAGACCCTGCAAAGGCACCCAGAGTTACAGCGGTCACCTTCTAGTCTCTTCTGGGGTGCGGCGGCCTCATCGCTCGGCAAGAAAGACCTCCAGCCTCCACGTGCACCTAAGGGAAAGTCGCGGGCGGGGAGCCTGCGCAGGAGCACCGCCTTCTTCAACTTTCGCTGGCCGCCCAGGGGCAGGAAGTGGGAGGACGGGTTGGGGGCGGTGCTAGGGTCGCCGGGGGAGGTGCCCGGTGAAGGTGCCAGCTCCGCCCCCGGCCCCGCCCGGCTGTGGCCGCGCCCCCTGCACCCCTAGCGCCTTGGAGCCGCGGACCTTTGGAGTCCCAGTCCCCGCGAGTAGCGTAGAGCCCGCGGGCCGGCCGAACAAAGCGACGGTGGAGCGAGCAGCTCAGGCGCCGGACGAAGGGAGCGAGCGACCCGCTGCGCCTTTGTCTCGGGTGGGGCAGGAGCGGCGGCCGGAGCGGGGCGCCCCGAACGCAGAATGCGGCGCCCAGAGGGGCGGATCGAGGAGCGCTGCGGCGGCAGGAGGCGTGGAGCCCGGGCCGGAGCCGGAGCGGACTTGTGTGTGTGAGAAGGGGGGACCCGGCACGCTGCCCCGGGAGCTCCTGGTGGCCGCACGTGGGCGGGAGCGGCGGCCCGCTAGTAGGAGGAAGAGGAGGGCCGAGCGGCCGCACAGCGGGGACCCGGAGCTGCCTGCGCAAAGCCCCGCCCCGGCGGCCGAGCCCCGCGCGGGCGGGCGGGATGCCTCACGGTCACCGCACTTTGGCCAGAGTGCTGCCCTGAGCCAGCTGGCCCATCGGCCGCGGCGGCGAGCGCACGGGCGCCGCGGGCGCCATGGAGCAGTGGCGGCAATGCGGCCGCTGGCTCATCGACTGCAAGGTCCTGCCGCCCAACCACCGCGTCGTGTGGCCCTCGGCGGTGGTCTTCGACCTGGCGCAGGCGCTGCGCGACGGGGTCCTTCTATGCCAGCTGCTGCACAACCTCTCCCCTGGCTCCATCGACCTTAAGGACATCAACTTCCGGCCGCAGATGTCCCAGGTGAGGGTCCCGGCACTGCAGGAGGGGCTCGGGTGTGCGGCCTGAGGGGCGCATTGACTGGAGCGCGGGCCGCGGGAGGCCCAGATTCCCTGGCTAGAGAGGCTGGCTCAGGGGTCAGTGCAGAGCAGGGCACGTCCCGGTCTCCGCTTCCCGCTCTAGAGAGCGGCCGTCCCCGAAGGCGCGAAGTTGGCTAAAGTCCCTCAAGCCTAGGGCACGCCACCACCGCCGCGGGGACCGTTTGTGTGTGCCGGCTCTACAGTCTACGGCTGCCTGGTGGAGGGCGACTCCAGCCTCGGTGCGGCGCCCAGCACTGCAGTCTCGCACTCAGGCCCGGGTCCCCGAGTGCCCTTTCCAACCCGGTGCGTGCCACGCCGGGGGCCGCGTCCCCGGGCTGCGCGCTAGGCGGCCGGAGCCCGTGGAGGATGAGCTGGAGCCGGTGGAGGATGAGATGGAGTCGTGGCTACTTTGACCCGCAGCGCGGCGGAGGGGCCGGGCCGGGCGGGTGCTCTGGCCGAAGGAAGGGGAGGGCCGGGCGCCGCCCCCTCTCCGGCCTGCGCCTCCTTCCAGACCCCAGCCCGGGATCAGCTGCCTCGAGGGCCTTCCTAGAGGGCCTCTGGGATGGTGTTCCCTTCGCCTCCTCACCGCCCCCTTGTCGGTCGTTGTTCCAGTGTGGCCTTTGTGGAGGACTAGGCACGCGTGTGGCCCCAGGGCAGGGCAGGGCAGGGCAGAGCAGGGTAGGGCAGGAAAATGTCTGCTCTGCTGGCTGAAGCTGCTTTTCTTGGCCCCTTGAAGGGAACTCGGCTGAGAGTTAAGCAAATTCAAGGCGTGTGGCCCGCCCTTCGGGGGTCCCGGATCCCCCGCCCAATCGCTCTTTAAAGGGCTCTGGGAGGCGGAGAGAAGAGTTAGCCAGCTCTGGTTCAGCCGGGTACTGTCCAGGTGCGACCCGCCCACTTCGAAACTCCGAGTGGACGCCGGGAATTCTCTTCTAGGACTGTGGGAAACGCGGTGATTCTTTGAGAGTCACTAATCCTAATATTCTGGCGGGTTTCACCCCTCCCCCCAAAGCCTCTGCCCTTTGGCTGTGTCTGCCTTTCCATAGAGATGAGGCCATTCCCGGTTGACAAAGGAGAGCTCCTGGAGGGAAAGAGAGGGGGTTGTCCTCCTACTTGATAGCAATACCCCAGCAGCTCAGAGAGCCAGAGAGGGAGCCTTCAGGGTCTTTTTGCAGCTGGAGTCCTGCAAGATCTGAGTGACAGTGTGCCCAAGTGGCACACTTAAATGGTTGCTGTAGGGAGGACTTCTTTCACAGATCTGGAAGTGTGATCCACCTCCCGAAGTTGGGCCTGGGCGGCTGCAGTTCTTAACCCCTTTCGTGGCTAGAGAAAGGGAAGGGGCAACTCCTACACATAGCTGGGTCTTGACTCCCTTTCTCCCTATGGGCTTTCACTGAACTGGAGGCTAAGATGGCTTGCTTCTGGCAGATTCTGTTGTTGGGCCTGGAGGCTTGAGCCTGACCTAGGATTAGGGGTGGGCTGGGGTTGGGTTAAGAGGGTGAAGCTGATTGGCAGGGATACTGGGAGGAGCTGGTCTTTGTGGTTTGGTCTGGATGGGATAAGGGGCTCTGGCTTGGGTAGGCTTCAGGATTCAATCCCAGGACCTGGAAACTTCTGGGCTTTACCAGCCGGGGATTACTAACACCTGCACAGAAGGTGTATGTTCTCTTCTTGCTTGTCATCTTGTGTAGGCTGGTTTGTATCATGGTCTCTACAAAGCAGGTCCTTGCTGAACCTTATGGCCCCATGTGTATTCATAAGGAAAGAAGCAATGGTTGTTACCAGAGCTGGCTGTGCAGGGTCTGGGGAGAGACTTCTTTTCTTTCCAGGTGCTTGCTCTATGCCACAGGAAGCTCACATTTCTAATATGGGGGGAGGTGATGTCACCTTGTTTTGTGGTGACTGGAACACAGAAGGAATCACAACTCCTCTTTCTTGGATTGCCTTGGGCTAGGAACAATTTGTGGAGTGGTGGCCACCTCTGATTTGTAGACAAGAGTTAAAGCTTAGAGAGTTCCACAGACGTGCCCTGGTTGTGGCCCACGTCATCCAGGCAGTAAGTGGCTTAAACAAGCTTTTAGAAAGATGTATGGACATCTTTCTAAAGAAATGGTGAATTCAGAGGGCTTGCCTCAGCTGCCCTGCAATTTTGCTTACTTCTTTGGGCTTTCCCTGGAACCTGTGTGGGGGGCTTTCTGTGGTGATAGTGGGAACATGGCTGTTTTCCCTAGACATCTGAATCCTTTATGGGGAGTCATCGGGCTGTTTGGCACAGAATGAGAGACTGTTTTCTTTCTCCCTGTTTGTCATATGCCAGAACATGTCTAGTTCACTGGCCTCTGGTGTCCCCTGATCCTCAAAGGCCACATGGCTTCCTGGTAAACCTTCAGGACTCAGAGGTCCCCTCCCATTTTGAGTTATCTCAGCTGGGCTATTGGTTCTATGGGAGCATAATGGAAAAAAAAATTTTCGAGACAGGGTCTGACTGTAACCCTGACTGGGTAGACCATGCTGACCTGGAATTCTCAGAGACTTGCCTGCCTCTACTTCCCAAGTGCTGAGATTAAAAGAGTGTACCACTATACCAGGCATGGCAGTGCAAATTTATTAGGCATCTGTTGGGTACTGATGGTCATAGAGAGATATTGGCTGCCTGCTTTGTTGTGCCCTCTTGAATGGACAGGATAGGATGCACCTTGTACTCCAATGCCTGGAAGCTGCTTTGGGTTTAATTAAGCTAATTAGGTGTATTTACTAATTACTGATCCTAAGAAGGAACCTATGGAGTTGAAGTGGCTACATTTAAGAGTTCACAAGGGTACTGTGCCAGCTGACAGTCTACATGTTTGCTCTGGAGAGGCCTCCTAAGGAGGGGTCACGGTCACTTGGCTCTGTCATGCTCATAGCACTCTGGTGGCCTTCTCTTTTTAGGACACCAGTGGTCTGTCTGCTGCAGGGATGTATCAGATCTCTTAATTCCTGGATCACAAGGGTTTGCCTTCATGGGACCTCAGTGTTCCCCTCTTCCCTGACCTTTTACCCAGTACTTTTTGTCTCCTCCCCATGTTCTTCCTCTTGTGCCCACAACACGCTGACTTACCCACCACCTTCCAGCCTGGTTCTTTGTCAGCTGGATTGGCTTGGGGCCTCTTCCTTCTCTAGGAAGCTTCCTCAGATTGCTCCCCTGTGCCGAGTCTCGTTTTGGGCTAACATGCTCAAGTATGCATCTCAAGTGCTGCACTTTTGAGGACTTTTCTCGTGAACACCACTTGCTGCCTGCTCCTGGGCTCAGGCCCTGAGAGATTTAGATCACTCATCCAAAGCAAGGGTGGTTGTGGGTTCTTAAGGATGTGAGCTCCTCCGGGAGGACTACATCCTCTCCGGTTCCCTTCATCCTGGCTTCCCGTGCAGAGCAATGTTCTTTTCTTTTACATTTGTTCAAGAAATAATTCCTTTGCCTGGGTCCATGTCACAGGCTGGGGAGGAACAGGAGGGGAGGGGAGCACTCTGGCCAGTGTTCTCATGAAGCCTCTGTAAGCAAGGGCAGCCAGTGGATATGGATGAAATGCTTTTTGATTGAGAAAGAAGCTGTTGGCTGATACACAGCTCCTTGAGTGTATATGTGGGGACTCTGTTGGAGAGGCTGAGAGTCAAGACATAGGATTTGGGAAGTAGAGAAAGCAAAGCTGATTCTCAGGGAAGCCAGGCAGTTTTAAAAAGATTTATTTGTGATCTCGTGTGTGTGTGTGTGTGTGTGTGTGTGTGTGTGTGTGTGTGTGTTAACAGGAATACAAATACCCTGCAGTTCAGAACAGAGTGTTCAATCCCTTGGAGTTGGGGTTACAGCCAATTGTGAGCTGCCTGATGTGGGTGCTGGGAACCAAACTTGAGTCCTCTGAAAAAACAGCAAATGTTGCTTAACCAGGGAGCCATCTTTCCTGCCTTGAGCCAGGCGGTTTTACAATGTGAGAATGGTTCCGACTCATGGCCAAGTTGTATACACTTTCCTGTGGACCTTTGAGCGGTAGCAGGAACTTGGTACTCTACGCCCTTGATGCCCAGTGCATTTCCTTCAAACAAATGTGCATTTTGTCACTACTGCGTCAAGACACTCAGGTGTCCCAGTTAAGTGTCTTTTCCAGCAAAAGTGACCTGGGATCTTCATCTGTTCCTCTCTGTCCAAGGCCTCTCCTCAACAGTCGCATTCTTTGCTCTTCATGGCCAAGGTCCAGGCTTCTTGGATTTGAGTTCAGCTGATACCTCAGGATTAGACTCAGGCTGTGTCCCTGTGGTGGGGTATGGCATCCTGCTATTCTACCCTTTCCCCTGGATCAGAGCAGGTGGCTTGAGGCTCAGCATCGAGTGTCCACTGGAGATGTTGAGCTTAAACTGCTTGATCGTTGGGGAACCTAGGTTTCAGGGAGGTGCTTTGAGAAAAAGTAAATATTGATTTTTCCTCTCCCTCCCCCTTTCCTCTCCCCTTTTTTCCTCTCTCCACTTCTTTCTGTCTTCCCACCCAGTGTGGGTTATGTTTCCTGTTTTATTCTAATCTGCTCTAACCATTATTTACCTCGGTGCTCACATTGTCTTGGGCGACAGTGGGAACTGGTCCAGGTTGGTGTCTTCATATCTCTGGCACACTCCCAGTCATTCTGGGAGCATCGCTGACTCGCTGGCACAAGATGTTCTAGGCTCATCTGTCTGTTCCTTTGTCCTAGCTCAGGAGCTGGCCTCTGCTTCAGTGGATGTAGTTCCTTGGTAGGAGAGGGGTATGTTGAGGCCAAGATGAGGAGGGGTGTGCTCAGGACTCATGGATGCTCTTAGTGCTTACCTGGGGAAGTACATGTGAAAGTGTATATGTATATGTTGTCTGGATACGTCTGTGTGTGCACACATTCTGTGCTTATCTGTGGTCTCTGGATGTGAATGCAGCCAATGCTGAGTTAG